TAATCCCTGTCCACACAACACCATGCTTGTGTTCGATTTTGTCACCACAGTTCAGTGATCTACGGCTTCGAAATAATAAAATTAATAAATCAGTTCCAAAATAAGTATTTTTTATAGCTCTTATTACCGTAATAATGTTGCTAAACTAAATATGTAACCCAAAAATATATAATTTGGTGCAAATCGAATATTTGAGAGAAATTTATGTTACTGGAAATCGAACACAACACCCGGCGGTGTTTTGTTCGATTTCATCGCCACAGTTCAGTGACCTAAGGCTTCGAAATAATAAAATTAATAAATCGGTTCCAAAATAAGCATTTTTTATAGCTCTTATTATCGTAATAATGTTGCTAAACTAAATATATAACCCAAAAATATATAATTTGATGTAAATCGAATATTTAAGAGAAATTTATGTTACTGGACCTGGCTTAAACACCAGCTTACTGAAGGGTGTACATATAGACTTAGTCTGCGTTCGTACAGTGTGCACCCAGTGCCCTTAGCTTTGTCTGCGATTGACATACAGTATTTATCCGCCGGACGAAGAATAATTGTGGAATTGATAATTTTTTTACTACAGCTCTTTGGTTATAAAACAAAATGTCACAGGGGCTTACTAATAGTGCCTTATTAATGCCAAAAATGAAGCAATATTTTGCAAGAACTAGTAGCAGAAAATCAACCAGCATGAGAACAGCCGTACCCAGCACGAGAATAGCCGTACCCAGCACGAGAACAGCCGTACCCAGCACGAGAACAGCCGTACCCAGCACGAGAACAGCCGTACCCAGCACGAGAACAGCCGTACCCAGCACGAGAACAGCCGTACCCAGCACGAGAACAGGCGTACCCAGCACGAGAACAGCCGTACCCAGCACGAGAACAGCCGTACCCAGCACGAGAACAGCCGTACCCAGCACGAGAACAGCCGTACCCAGCACGAGAACAGCCGTACCCAGCACTGGAACAACAGCCGTACCCAGCACGAGCACAGCTGTACCCAGCACTGGAACAACAGCCGTACCCAGCACGAGAACAGCCGTACCCAGCACTGGAACAACAGCCGTACCCAGCACGAGCACAGCTGTACTCAGCACTGGAACAACAGCCGTACCCAGCACGAGCACAGCTGTACCCAGCACTGGAACAACAGCCGTACCCAGCACGAGCACAGCTGTACTCAGCACTGGAACAACAGCCGTACCCAGCACGAGCACAGCTGTACCCAGCACTGGAACAACAGCCGTACCCAGCACGAGCACAGCTGTACTCAGCACTGGAACAATAGCCGTACCCAGCACGAGCACAGCTGTACTCAGCACTGGAACAACAGCCGTACCCAGCACGAGCACAGCTGTACTCAGCACTGGAACAACAGCCGTACCCAGCACGAGCACAGCTGTACTCAGCACTGGTACAACAGCCGTACCCAGCACAAGCACAGCTGTACCCAGCACTGGAACAACAGCCGTACCCAGCACAAGCACAGTTGTACCCAGCACGAGCACATCTGTACCCAGCACTGGTACAACAGCCGTACCCAGCACAAGCACAGTTGTACCCAGCACTGGTACAACAACAGCCAGCACCAGCTCAGAAGCAGCTGAACCCACAGCAGCAGCGAGCACCAGCAAAGCTGATGCAAACATCTAAATACATCATGTGTGGCATGAACAGTTAGAACAAGTGTTAAATTTAAGTGTGTGCACAGTGTTAAAATTAAAGTTGCAGTAATTTTAGTGTACAATAGTTTTCATAGACTGTATTGTAGTACTCAACATTCAGCAGAACTACTTTTAATCAACACAGTGCTAACGGCATAATGCACTGCAGTACGTATTTACTGTAGAGCATTCACAACGTCACGAAACTTCAAGATGGACATAACTTCAACAATAAGGTAAATTTATGAATTACAGTATTTTTTAGTAGAAAAGTAATAAATAGGTACAGTATGTAATATGATAATGCATTTTTATTGTGTACAAGAAAAAAAAGACACTGACACGCCTCCTGAAGGTCACCTCTTGCAACGAATCCAACGCTCCAACGAACTGGGGTTGGTCCCATATAGTACGTTGAATCGAGGTTGTACTGTAAAAGAGTAAAGCTGCAAGAATGAACGCGAGAACTGCAGCCTCACAAGATCTCGGTTACCAAGACAAAACTGACAAACGTAATGGAGAATGAAATATTCCCAATATGATGCCAGGTAGTAAGGAATGAAAGGATAAAAAGGAGTGGGAAGGGAAGTGAAGTAGTCTTTGTGATACAACCCTGAGGCTTCAACAAGATAATCTGGAGGTACTGTAATCAACCAGAAGGATTTTATGCTAGGTATACCAATAATGAGGACCATGAAGATAGTGGTAGGCATTATTTATAACCCTCAGTTAACTACAAGAAGGCCAATGGAGGAAAATGATAATTGCAATACCTGGACTGTACCTGCTACTACGTTACTTTCCTTAAAGGCTACTTTATTACAAAATTTCATTAGATTTAGAAAGGGTCGAGTGGGAGGCCTTTGGTGAATTCACATGGAATGACCCCATGGAGTGATAGCACACAAAACGTGGTCAATGGGAATAACTGGTCAAGTAGAACGCTGGATACTCAATTTCCTGTCGAACAGAACACAAAGAGTAATAGTCAATCAAATAAAATCGAGTCTAAGCGCAGTCAAAAGCTCTGTACCTCAAGGTAGAGTCCTTGCACCACTCCTGTTTCTTTTTCTCATATCAGACATAGACAAAAATACAAGTCACAGCTTCATGTCATCCTTTGCAGATGACACAAAAATCATTATGAAAATTACCTCTGCTGAAGACATTGAAAAATTATATGCAGATATCAACAAAGTTTTCGATTGGGCAGCAGAAAATAACTTGATGTTTAACAGTGATAAATTCCAGGTACTTAGGTATGGCAAAAATGAGGATCTGAAACATAATACAGGGTACAAAACACAATGGAATCTGCCCATAGTAGGAAAACGGCATGTCAAGTATTTGGGAATAATGATGACTGACGATCTAACGTTTACGGAGCATAACCAAGGAAATTTTCAGTCTCCATGTTGTAGTGGTAAGACACTCGCCTGGCATTCCGCGAGCGCTTGTCATGGGTTCATATCCTGGCCGGGGAGGATTTACTAGGTGCAAACCCTTAACTGTAGCCTCTGTTTAACGCAACAGTAAAATGTGTACGTGGTTGTAACGATTCTTCGCGGCGAGGATCGTATTCCAGGGACCTGCCCGAAACGCTACGCGTACTAGTGGCTGTACAAGAATGTAACAACTGTTGTATACATCTCAAAAAAAAAAAAAAAAAAAAAAAAAAAAAAAAAAAAAAAAAAAAAACTTTCAAATCTAGGGATCCCATCACAATGGTTGTACTCTTCAAGTCACTTGTGTACTGCTCAGTATTCACTTTCCCCTTGAGAGCAGGAGGGAGAGATTGCTGAAATAGTGGGAATACAGAGAACATATACGGCAAGCATATATGTGATAAAGCGCCTAAATTATTTGGATCATCTCAAAGCTCTCCAAATGTACTCACTAGAAAGGAGATGAGAGATATCAAATAATATACACATGGAAAATACTGGAGGGGCCAAGTCCCTAATCTACACAGCAAAATAACAACGTACTGGAGTGAACGATATGGAAGAAAATGCAGAATAGAACCAGTGAAGAGCAGAGGTGCCATAAGCACAATCGGAGAACACTGTATAAACATCAGAGGTCCACGGTTGTTCAACATCCTCCCAGCGAGCATAAGAAATATTGCCAGAACAACCGTGGACATCTTGAAGAGAAAACTAGACTGTTTTCTAAAAGAAGCTCAGGACCCACCAGGCTGTGGTGGGTATGTGGGCCTGCGGGCCGCTCCAAGTAACAGCCTGGTGGACGAAACTCTCACAAGCCCGGCCAGGGGCCGGGCTTGGGGAGTAGAACAACTCCCAGAACCCCATCAAGCAGGTATCCCACCTCACAGCTGGCTCCCAGCTACCACCCTGGGACAACAGCTGGCTCCCAGCTACCACCCTGGGACAACAGCTGGCTCCCAGCTACCACCCTGGGACAACAGCTGGCTCCCAGCTACCACCCTGGGACAACAGCTGGCTCCCAGCTACCACCCTGGGACAACAGCTGGCTCCCAGCTACCACCCTGGGACAACAGCTGGCTCCCAGCTACCACCCTGGGACAACAGCTGGCTCCCAGCTACCACCCTGGGACAACAGCTGGCTCCCAGCTACCACCCTGGGACAACAGCTGGCTCCCAGCTACCACCCTGGGACAACAGCTGGCTCCCAGCTACCACCCTGGGACAACAGCTGGCTCCCAGCTACCACCCTGGGACAACAGCTGGCTCCCAGCTACCACCCTGGGACAACAGCTGGCTCCCAGCTACCACCCTGGGACAAGTACTGATGAATCACGACATCATCACAAGACTTCCCGGCATCACCGTGGCCAACGTAAGTCACGTACAATTTTTGCACTATTTTTCCCCATGATCAGGGAGTTTATTTTAACAATATTAGAAAGTAATCATTTGCTTAATTTTTTCTTGCTCACCGTTGGTGATGTCGGCAATAATAAGGGGCAGAGCTTAGGGGTTAAAGGCATCACCCCCAATTACCACACCCCACACAATGCTCTTGCATAATCCATTAACACACAACTTCATCTAATTTTGTATTTGCAACACTTTTTATAATTTTCCTTTTACCTAATTCTCCCCTATCACTCACAGCAAGGAACGCCCTAATATTATCTGTGTGTCTCCATATCACACACATAATAGATATCTTATTGTATATGTGTGATACTATATAAGTAATACTATATAAGCAAGTAGTGATATGTAATACTATATAAGAAGTGCTACTGGATCACACAGAGTACAGTACAGTATCACACTGCTATAACTAGTGTGATACTGCATTATTTGATGCATTACTGTATACTGTCAACATAATACTCACATTCTGTAGACCAGATGGTCCAGGAAAATCACTTGGGTTAAAATCACTCATAGCAACTGGCTCTTCCTTTTCTATTGTTGACTGAAGAAACTCGGGAAAGTCATTTGTGTTGCCCTCCGAGCTGTGTGGGCCGTCACCCTCCTCTCCCCCACCACCATCGTAACTATTACTTTGTACTGACAAAAAATCATCATTAGCAGACTGTTCAAAGTTGTCCTGTTGCTCCACTTTAATGAGCACTGGGGGTTGATCTATACTTATTTCTGTGTCTTTCTCCTCTGGCTGTTCTCGAGGGTTGGCCACTTCACTAGCACTGGCTTGACGGCCGGCACTCGGTTCCGGGGTGCCGGGGCCGTCTCCTGGAGGTCTGCCAGGGCTGTGTTCTGTTCCGACGGGAGTGACTCTACGATCGTCCGCTCTGCGTCTCTTAGCGGGAGGACTGGCTTGTTCTGGCCGCTGTCTACTCTGAGGCACACCGCTTGCACTGCCACTACTAGTTACACTTTTTTTAGGTTCCTCATCTGGCACAGCCAAACCTTTTATTCTGAGACATTCTGCTGCCTTAATGAGAGAAGACAATTCATTTTGTCTTACATTAACTTCCCCAATGTACATATAGTCCAACAAAAACTCTAGGTCCTGACACTGAATGTCCTTGAGGACAACTACTGGGTTCTTGCATGGTGTACGGTCAAATATATCACTAAAATATTCACTACACGTGGACAGAACCAACTTGTGGACGGGGTAAAACTTGCCCTCGCACGCCAACGTCACATCTGTGTACGTCTCCTGAAAAATAAAACAAATTATCCATGTATGTAGATTAGTATATGAGACCCGTAACACTGTATTCAAGGTTTATAATGCTCAAAATTACAAAAATTCAAATAAATCAATTTGATAAATACTGTAATATAACAACTTTACTAGTTAACCACAACATGAGACACCCTCTTCCCAGTAATAAGACACCCTCTTCCCAGTAATAAGACATGCAAGACACCCTCTTCCCAGTAATAAGACATGCAAGACACCCTCTTCCCAGTAATAAGACATGCAAGACACCCTCTTCCCAGTAATAAGACATGCAAGACACCCTCTTCCCAGTAATAAGACATGCAAGACACCCTCTTCCCAGTAATAAGACATGCAAGACACCCTCTTCCCACCCTCTTCCCAGTAATAAGACATGCAAGACACCCTCTTCCCAGTAATAAGACATGCAAGACACCCTCTTCCCAGTAATAAGACATGCAAGACACCCTCTTCCCAGTAATAAGACATGCAAGACACCCTCTTCCCAGTAATAAGACATGCAAGACACCCTCTTCCCAGTAATAAGACACCCTCTTCCCAGTAATAAGACACCCTCTTCCCAGTAATAAGACACCCTCTTCCCAGTAATAAGACACCCTCTTCCCAGTAATAAGACACCCTCTTCCCAGTAATAAGACATGCAAGACACCCTCTTCCCAGTAATAAGACACCCTCTTCCCAGTAATAAGACACCCTCTTCCCAGTAATAAGACACCCTCTTCCCAGTAATAAGACACCCTCTTCCCAGTAATAAGACACCCTCTTCCCAGTAATAAGACATGCAAGACACCCTCTTCCCAGTAATAAGACACCCTCTTCCCAGTAATAAGACACCCTCTTCCCAGTAATAAGACATGCAAGACACCCTCTTCCCAGTAATAAGACACCCTCTTCCCAGTAATAAGACACCCTCTTCCCAGTAATAAGACACCCTCTTCCCAGTAATAAGACACCCTCTTCCCAGTAATAAGACACCCTCTTCCCAGTAATAAGACACCCTCTTCCCAGTAATAAGACACCCTCTTCCCAGTAATAAGACACCCTCTTCCCAGTAATAAGACACCCTCTTCCCAGTAATAAGACACCCTCTTCCCAGTAATAAGACACACCCTCTTCCCAGTAATAAGTACACCCTCTTCCCAGTAATAAGACACCCTCTTCCCAGTAATAAGACACCCTCTTCCCAGTAATAAGACCCAGTAATAAGACATGCAAGACACCCTCTTCCCAGTAATAAGACATGCAAGACACCCTCTTCAAATACACCCTCTTCCCAGTAATAAGACACCCTCTTCCCAGTAATAAGACACCCTCTTCCCAGTAATAAGACACCCTCTTCCCAGTAATATCTTCCCAGTAATAAGACATGCAAGACACCCTCTTCCCAGTAATAAGACATGCAAGACACCCTCTTCCCAGTAATAAGACACCCTCTTCCCAGTAATAAGACACCCTCTTCCCAGTAATAAGACACCCTCTTCCCAGTAATAAGACACCCTCTTCCCAGTAATAAGACACCCTCTTCCCAGTAATAAGACACCCTCTTCCCAGTAATAAGACACCCTCTTCCCAGTAATAAGACATGCAAGACACCCTCTTCCCAGTAATAAGACACCCTCTTCCCAGTAATAAGACACCCTCTTCCCAGTAATAAGACACCCTCTTCCCAGTAATAAGACACCCTCTTCCCAGTAATAAGACACCCTCTTCCCAGTAATAAGACACCCTCTTCCCAGTAATAAGACACCCTCTTCCCAGTAATAAGACACCCTCTTCCCAGTAATAAGACACCCTCTTCCCAGTAATAAGACACCCTCTTCCCAGTAATAAGACATGCAAGACACCCTCTTCCCAGTAATAAGACACCCTCTTCCCAGTAATAAGACATGCAAGACACCCTCTTCCCAGTAATAAGACACCCTCTTCCCAGTAATAAGACATGCAAGACACCCTCTTCCCAGTAATAAGACACCCTCTTCCCAGTAATAAGACACCCTCTTCCCAGTAATAAGACACCCTCTTCCCAGTAATAAGACACCCTCTTCCCAGTAATAAGACACCCTCTTCCCAGTAATAAGACACCCTCTTCCCAGTAATAAGACACCCTCTTCCCAGTAATAAGACACCCTCTTCCCAGTAATAAGACACCCTCTTCCCAGTAATAAGACACCCTCTTCCCAGTAATAAGACACCCTCTTCCCAGTAATAAGACACCCTCTTCCCAGTAATAAGACACCCTCTTCCCAGTAATAAGACACCCTCTTCCCAGTAATAAGACACCCTCTTCCCAGTAATAAGACACCCTCTTCCCAGTAATAAGACACCCTCTTCCCAGTAATAAGACACCCTCTTCCCAGTAATAACACATGCAAGACACCCTCTTCCCAGTAATAAGACATGCAAGACACCCTCTTCCCAGTAATAAGACACCCTCTTCCCAGTAATAAGACACCCTCTTCCCAGTAATAAGACACCCTCTTCCCAGTAATAAGACACCCTCTTCCCAGTAATAAGACACCCTCTTCCCAGTAATAAGACACCCTCTTCCCAGTAATAAGACACCCTCTTCCCAGTAATAAGACACCCTCTTCCCAGTAATAAGACATGCAAGACACCCTCTTCCCAGTAATAAGACACCCTCTTCCCAGTAATAAGACATGCAAGACACCCTCTTCCCAGTAATAAGACATACAAGACACCCTCTTCCCAGTAATAAGACACCCTCTTCCCAGTAATAAGACACCCTCTTCCCAGTAATAAGACACCCTCTTCCCAGTAATAAGACACCCTCTTCCCAGTAATAAGACATGCAAGACACCCTCTTCCCAGTAATAAGACATGCAAGACACCCTCTTCCCAGTAATAAGACATACAAGACACCCTCTTCCCAGTAATAAGACACCCTCTTCCCAGTAATAAGACACCCTCTTCCCAGTAATAAGACACCCTCTTCCCAGTAATAAGACACCCTCTTCCCAGTAATAAGACACCCTCTTCCCAGTAATAAGACACCCTCTTCCCAGTAATAAGACACCCTCTTCCCATGAAAAGACATGCAAGACACCCTCTTCCCAGTAATAAGACACCCTCTTCCCAGTAATAAGACACCCTCTTCCCAGTAATAAGACACCCTCTTCCCAGTAATAAGACACCCTCTTCCCAGTAATAAGACACCCTCTTCCCAGTAATAAGACACCCTCTTCCCAGTAATAAGACACCCTCTTCCCAGTAATAAGACACCCTCTTCCCAGTAATAAGACACCCTCTTCCCAGTAATAAGACATGCAAGACACCCTCTTCCCAGTAATAAGACATGCAAGACACCCTCTTCCCAGTAATAAGACATGCAAGACACCCTCTTCCCAGTAATAAGACATGCAAGACACCCTCTTCCCAGTAATAAGACATGCAAGACACCCTCTTCCCAGTAATAAGACACCCTCTTCCCAGTAATAAGACATGCAAGACACCCTCTTCCCAGTAATAAGACATGCAATTTTAGGAATTTTAGATGCTCCTAGAAACTCCTAAAGTAATAGTTTGAATGAATGTGGTTTGCAAATGTTCTTTTCATGTCATCTAAACCAGCATCAGGATCATTTATATAGGCATCAGCTAGTGCTTCCTCCACCCCCTCCCCCCCTAATCCTAACTGAAGAGAAGATACTAGTTACTTATCCTTTCTATTTCATCCCCATCAAGAGCATCAAAATCTTAAAACCCGAGGGTCACAGTTACCCAAGTGCCACACAGTGTAGGAAGGTAGGTGAACCCGAGGGTCACAGTTACCCAAGTGCCACACAGTGTAGGAAGGTAGGTGAACCCGAGGGTCACAGTTACCCAAGTGCCACACAGTGTAGGAAGGTAGGTGAACTCGAGGGTCACAGTTACCCAAGTGCCACACAGTGTAGGAAGGTTGGTGAACCCGAGGCTCACAGTTACCCAAGTGCCACACAGTGTAGGAAGGTAGGTGAACCCGAGGGTCACAGTTACCCAAGTGCCACACAGTGTAGGAAGGTTGGTGAACCCGAGGGTCACAGTTACCCAAGTGCCACACAGTGTAGGAAGGTTGGTGAACCCGAGGGTCACAGTTACCCAAGTGCCACACAGTAATTACCTAAGTGTAGTTACAGGATGAGAGCTACGCTCGTGGTGTCCCGTCTTCCCAGCACTCTTTGTCATATAACGCTTTGAAACTACTGACGGTCTTGGCCTCCACCACCTTCTCACTTAACTTGTTCCAACCGTCTACCACTCTATTTGCGAAGGTGAATTTTCTTATATTTCTTCGGCATCTGTGTTTAGCTAGTTTAAATCTATGACCTCTTGTTCTTGAAGTGCCAGGTCTCAGGAAATCTTCCCTGTCGATTTTATCAATTCCTGTTACTATTTTGTATGTAGTGATCATATCACCTCTTTTTCTTCTGTCTTCTAGTTTTGGCATGTTTAATGCTTCCAACCTCTCCTCGTAGCTTTTGCCCTTCAGTTCTGGGAGCCACTTCGTAGCATGTCTTTGCACCTTTTCCAGTTTGTTGATGTGCTTCTTAAGATATGGGCACCACACAACAACTGCATATTCTAGCTTTGGCCTAACAAAAGTCATGAACAATTTCTTTAGTATATCGCCATCCATGTATTTAAATGCAATTCTGAAGTTAAAAAGCATCGCATAGGCTCCTTGCACAATATTCTTTATGTGGTCCTCAGGTGATAGTTTTCTATCTAGAATCACCCCTAGATCTCTTTCTTTATCAGAATTCTTTAAAGATTTCTCACATAATATATAGGTTGTATGGGGTCTATGTTCTCCTATTCCACATTCCATAACATGACATTTATTAACATTAAATTCCATTTGCCAGGTGGTGCTCCATATACTTATTTTGTCCAGGTCTTCTTGAAGGGCATGACAATCATCTAAGTTTCTTATCCTTCCTATTATCTTAGCATCATCAGCAAACATGTTCATATAA